AACCTTGACTTGAATTCGTATTTTTGTTTTCTTAAACACTAGTTTGTTCTTTAATTTTCATGTTTGTGTCAAACACATGGATATTTTTAGAAAACAGTTAACTCTCATGCAGCATTTTGCACCGTTACAAACTTATGAAAATACATAAGGTGACCTTTGCTGTAGAGTCCAGATGAGAAGAAGAGAAAATATCATCTTCATAACGATGTTTAGATTAATCCTGGCTGTAAGGTCTCCTAGTTTTTTGATAGTAAAAATCGAGAGTACTGCAACACTTTAAAGCAGGGTCACCGACCAATGAACGGGAGGAGTCAGCATTCACCTAAACTTCATGCCTAATATTTTTTATGTTTCCTTTAATTTTTTATTTTCTTTTAGATATTGTAATTTTGAAATCTTTATAAATAAAGGACACCCCATGTGGTCCTTCAGGCCCCCTGGTGCCGGTTGGCAATACGTTAGTAAAAGCTGCTTTAAAGACTCCACATCCTCAATAAACAGATGTGTCCCAATGTTAACACCAAAGATCAAGAACGGTGTCACAGAATCTAAAAACATATTAACACACCCTTAATACATCTATTCATGCATAACAGATTCAGAAGAGAAAGAAAAAGTAATTACAACCAAACACATGATTAACATTCTAAAACACATTACTGCTAAAGAGGATTTGAGGAAAAATAGCTTCACAGCTTTGGCGTCTCTGTTGACGATGTGACAATTTTGCTGCTTTTTTTGTTGTATGTTTTTTTTTTCTATTCATGAAACTTCAAAACAGCAAGCTCATCTTTAGAATCATTTGACTGTAGCGACACAAAACAAGCCAATGTCTACTGAAAACACATTCTGAACAATGACTCGATGCAGTCAGCTTGTTTTCCTTATATAAAAATCTTTTTAACCAAACTGACTGAAAATTGATGCAATATAAAGCAACTTATCTGTGGTTGAATTATAGGTAATCACTGTCACAAAAAACCCCAAAAATGTAAATAATACAAGTTCTAAACTTCTAAAACTCCTTTATCATCCTATTTGAAAATATAACTACAATAGCATTCTTTTTTCAGTAAACCTAACAGTTTTAAAAGAGGAAATTCACGTAGTAGCCTACATGCATTGTTCAGTCTTTTATCCTTCACTTGACTCCTGGACAGTTCTATTCAGCATGTGAATAATTTTGATTAGAGACAAAAATGTTATCAGATTTCAAGAAGAACCAGATGTAGTTGCTCAAGACCTGTTATCAAACCTGCTCAAGCCTGCCTGTTTTAAATCATTTCTCTGTCACAGCACACCTAATTGAAAGGATTCCATGGCCAGATTCCAGCAACAAATAAGCATGTCAATCATTTCTTCATACAGTATGAGTCAGATGTATGGTAGCAAGTAAACTCATAAAACACTCAGTGGTAAGTTGATGACAGGTGATGTCAACCGCTTTCCTAGACCAAGTTTTTGTCTTTTCTTAACATTTAGCAATGTGTTTCAGGTGTCAAATACAAAATTAGCTTTTTGAAAATCTAAAGTTATTAGGGACTATTCACAAAATTCTGCAATGGTTTTAGCTTTGTGGAACATGTTGGCTCAATTTAAATACATGAATTTTTCCCCCCTAGCTCCTGTTCCTTGTCCTTTAATGCGGTCATAAGTACTCATTGTATGAGGAAAGGAAACTCTAGACTGCTGTCAAATTGGGTCCACAACCATCAGAGATGGGAAGTAACGAAGTACAAATACTTCGTTACTGTACTCAAGTAGATTTTTCTGACATTTTTACTTTACTTTACTACTTATTTTTATGGTGACTTTTTACTTCTACTCCTTACATTTTTACACAAATATCTGTACTTTCTACTCCTTACATTTTAAAAAATTGTCTCGTTACTTTAGTTTTGAATCATTTCAATGGAGTTACCGTTATTATTTTTCACGTCATCAATACCAAATTCAGTCTAATTGGTTGGGAATCTACGTTACATTTGACGCACCACTACAAGATGAATCGACAGATTCGGCGGTATTCATTGGCGGCAAATCATTGCAGCTTGGTGGCGGTGGCGTTAGCGTAGTAGTATGGACGACGAGATGATTGAAAATGAACACAATGGAGATCTAGTCCTATTGGCAGACATCCATTTAAAATGTAGGCAACGGCATGAAAAAAGTGGTTTCTACTTTTATACTTTAAGTAAATTTACAAGCCTGTACTTTGTTACTTTTACTTGAGTAAAGAAGTTTAATCAGTACTTCCACTTTTACCAGAGTATTTTTTAACACAAGTATCTGTACTTTTACTCAAGTACGGAAAGTGAGTACTTTTGCCATCTCTGACAACCATCTTAAAAAGAAATACAAAAAAACGCAAGGGCTATAACTCTCTATCAAATAATCCAAAACATGTGATGCTGCATACATTTCAATTTTTCATACAAAGTACATAAAAATAAATAAAGTATTTTTGTTCATTTCTGGGAGGTATGCTATGCTTGTTCTTCATGTCACATAAAATATTTTTTTTTAAAGATCTTTATCTTTTATCTTTAGACTTTATCAAGCTATTTTCTAGAATCTCACTCCTCTTCATCACAGAAATAGAAAGGATCCTCATCTTTGGTTCTTACTAATTTGATGTATCTGGATTGAGCTGTGGTCTTGAATCAGGTCATTCCTCTTCATCACCATGCCTGTAGACACTCCCATTTCTGTTCCATAGAAACAACAGAACAGAGATACAGAGAGCATCACACTACATAGCAAACATAGGATACCTTCACTGAAGTCCTGTTGATTTCTAGTTTTCAGTGTTTAACCTTTGAAAAAGCTTAGTTCTTGAGTTTTTTTTGCAGCAATACATGTGAGTAAGCTAACTATTTTATATAGAGTGGCTTCAGGTCTGGTACCTGAAGCAGAATTTGTCAGCATTTGGTTATGGAGTGTATGAATGAATATGAATGAATGAATATTTATTTATTTCAGACAATAATAATAGTAACAAATTGACAAATAAAATAAATAAATCAAATTGACAAATAAAATAGAGTGTAGACCCAAAAGCAGAGGCAGGAAGGCAGAGGTGAATTTCTTTAGATTTAATTGAAAACAAACTGAAAACAAAGGCAGGTTATCCAAAAATCCAATAATGAAAACGAAGTCCAAACAAGCATCAAATCAGGAGTCCAAAAATCCAAAATAATCAAACATTAAAACTAGTCACGAACCAGAAACAGTGGAGACATCAGGGGAATCACAGTCACAACGAGGAAGACTCAACAAGGCAGAGTTGGAGGAAGTTTGACAAAGTTTGGCAGTGTTTGACGAGGACCCAGCAAAGGGGAACTGAAGAGAGAGGGCTTTTTAAAGGAGACTGAGACAAAGAGGGGGCTAATGAGGAAACTTGGAGCAGGTGTGCAAAGAACAAGAGAGGGAAAGAGCTAGGGAGGAAGGAGAACATAAGAGGGCAGCCGAGAGCAACAAATAAAAACCTGGAAGACTGGAAATAACAACAAAATGATAATCAAATAACTAGGACTATAAAACATGGAGAAAAGAAAACTAAACACTAGAAAACAAGGAATAAAGTAAGACAGAATACTCAAAAGAAAAACATAACAGAAACAGAAACCTGACAGAATTGACATTTTAGTATGTTGCAGAAAAACATGAAAAGTAATGCCTTAAAAATCAAAGATGAACTACACTTATTATTTACAGTTAATTCTTCTTCAACAGTATTACTCTATATCAGGGTAACCAATTAAAAATCAGTGGGGTCCGAATAAAGAAAAAAAACAACAACCAGTAAAGGTCGGGGGACATTTTTAATAATAATCTGTTACTTTGAACAACATTTAACACTGAAATAAAATGCAAGTGTGCATGCGTTCATGTTGTACATTTTAATTTTTTTTAAATAAACAATATAACAAACTTTTTTCCTTTTTACAATCTAAATTGTTTTTGAAGTAGAGAACAACAATCTTTGGTATGTAGATAATTTTTCTGACTTTTTTCTTTTATATGGCTTAATGGCAGAAGTGGGCTTTAGGCTGCCCTGCAAGGCCTTAGACCTGGGTTTGAATGGAGACAATTCTCAAGCAATTATAAAGGTGCATATTGGTGGGCCTGGATCAATATTCATTTTTGATTATGGTTGTGGTGGAGAATCCTGCTTCAAAGAAGTAGGTTAAGCCAAACATACTCAAAATGTGCAGGGTCCTCTTTGAGCACACCATTTCACTAAATAAAATCAATCAAAGGAACACATAGAAAGTAAAAACACACTTCAGTTACATTTTTGACTAATTGTTTCCTGATTTACTATTGATGCAATGCTTTTAATCAGTGTTGTATAAAGTACTGAAATCTCAGAGTCAAGTAAAAGCATAAGTAACTCTCCAAAATATGTCTGTGGTAAAAGTCCAAGTCACTGACTGAAATGTTACTTAAGTAAAAGTCTTAAAGTATCTGAAATGGCTTTTACTTAAGTATAAGAATTGCTGTAAAAATAGATGTACTCAAGTAATGTAGTGAAAAGTATAAGTAAACAGTAGTGCAGTAGTGTATCCTATCGGTGTTGATGAACAAGACCAGGCAAGACCCGACTTTGTAGTCAGTAGGTGGGGTCAAAACACTTGCGTTTCTCTCGCTCGTTTATTTATTTATTTTTTCTAACTCAGTAACTAAACCAAACATTAAAAATGTATCTGAGTAAAATAAGTAAAAGTGAAAGTTCTCCAAAAAAAATGATACTCTTGGAAGGTATAAAGTACTCCAAAATATACTTAAGTACAGTAGTGAAGCATTTTTACTTCGTTACTAAACAACACTGCTTTTAATATTTGTAAAGAATTTTACAGAAAGACCACAGTCAATAAAAGTAAGAGATTAAGTGTTCTCATGGAGATGCTGGAAGCACTACTGGTGGTGACTGACTGGAATGTTGTGGATAATGTAGGTGTTGCTGCTGGTGCCAATGTTGTAGTTGCTGGTGCCACTTTTGCGGTGGTTGCTGGTGCCACTGTTGTTGCCAGGGTTGTGGAAGTTGGAGCTGCAGATGTAGAGGTTGTTGCATTAGTTGTGGTTGTGGGGATGACTGTTGTAGTTGTTTGGGCAGCTGTTGTAGTAGATGGTGCTGAAGTTGTGGTTGTTGTTGCAGCCGTTGTTGTCGATGCAGCAGTTGTGGTTGTTGGTGCCAATGTTGTGGTTGTTTGTGTAGCAGCTGTTGTTGGTGCAATTGTGGTGGTTGGGGCAGCCGTTGTGGTGGTTGGTGCCACAGTTGTGGTTGTTGGTGCCACTGTTGTAGTTGTTGGGGCAGATGATGTAGTGGTTGGTGCAGCTGCTGTGGTGATTGGTGCAACAGTTGTTGTAGTTGGTGCCAATAATGTGGTTGTTTGTGTAGCAGTTGTTGTTGGTGCTATTGTGGTGGTTGGTGCAGCAGTTGTGGTGGCTGGCACCACAGTTGTGGTAATAGGTGCAGCAGTTGTGGCTGTTGGTTCAGCAGTTGTCATTGTTGGTGCAGCCATTGTGGTGGCTGGTGCAGCATTTGTTGTTGTTGGTGATAGTGTTGTAGTTGTTGGTGCAGCAGTTGTTGTTGTTGGTGCAGCCATTATTGTGGCTGGTGCAGCTTTTGTGGTTGTGACTGTTATAGTTGTTGGGGCAGCAGTTGTATTAGTTGGTGCAGTAGTTTTGGTGGTTGGTAAAACTGTTGTGGTGGCTGGCACCACAGTTGTGGTAGTAGGTTCCACAGTTGTAGTTAATGGTGCAGCAGTTGTTGTTAGTGCAGCAGTTGTGGTTGTTGGTGCCACTTTTGTAGTTGTTGGGGCAGAAGATGTAGTGGTTAGTGCAGCTGTTGTGGTGATTGGTGCAACAGTTGTCGTAGTTGGTGCCAATGTTGTGGTTTTTTGTGTAGCAGTTGTTGTTAATGCAGCAGTTGTGGTTGGTGCAGCCGTTGTCGTGGCTGGCACCACATTTAGGGTACTAGGTGCCACAGTTGTAGTTGTTGGTGCAGCCATTGTTGTTAGTGCAGCAGTTGTGGTTGTTGGTGCCACTTTTGTAGTTGTTGGGGCAGAAGATGTAGTGGTTGGTGCAGCTGTTGTGGTGATTGGTGCAACAGTTGTCGTAGTTGGTGCCAATGTTGTGGTTTTTTGTGTAGCAGTTGTTGTTAATGCAGCAGTTGTGGTTGGTGCAGCCGTTGTCGTGGCTGGCACCACATTTAGGGTACTAGGTGCCACAGTTGTAGTTGTTGGTGCAGCCATTGTTGTTAGTGCAGCAGTTGTGGTTGTTGGTGCCACTTTTGTAGTTGTTGGGGCAGAAGATGTAGTGGTTGGTGCAGCTGTTGTGGTGATTGGTGCAACAGTTGCCGTAGTTGGTGCCAAATTTGTGTTTTTTTGTGTAGCAGTTGTTGTTAATGCAGCAGTTGTGGTTGTTGGCGCAGCCGTTAACGTGGCTGGCACCACAGTTGTGGTACTAGGTGCCACAGTTGTAGTTGTTGGTGCAGCCATTGTTGTTGTTGGTGCAGCAGTTGTGGTTGTAGCTGTTGTGGTTGTTGGTGCAGCAGTTGTGGTGGTGGGTGCCACAGTTGTAGTTGATGTCAGTGTTGTTGTTGTTAATGCAGCAGTTTTGGTGTTTGGCACAGCCGTTGTCATGGTTGGCGCCACAGTTGTGGTAGTAGGTGCCACAGTTGTAGTTGATGGTGCAGCTGTTGTTGTTGTTGATGCAGCAGTTGTAGTTGTTGGTTCAGCCGTTGTCATGGCTGGCGCCACAGTTGTGGTAGTAGGTGCCACAGTTGAAGTTGTTGGGGCAGTAGTTGTGGTGGTTGGTGCAGCCGTTGTGGTGGTTGGTGCAGCAGTTGTTGCAGCCATTGTTGTTGATGCAGCTGTTGTGGGTGCGACTGTTGTAGTTGTTGGGACAGTAGTTGTAGTAGTTGGTGCAGCAGATGTGGTGGTTGGTGCAGCAGTTGTCGGTGCAGTCATTGTGGTGGTTGGTGCAGTAGTTGTGGTTGTTGGTGCAGCAGTTGTTGTTGTTGCAGCCATTGTAGTTGTTGGTGCAGCTGTTGTGGTTTTGGGTGTGACTGTTGTAGTTGTTGGGACAGCAGTTGTAGTAGTTGGTGCAGTAGTTGTGGTGGTTGGCACCACAGTTGTGGTAGTAGGTTCCACAGTTGTAGTTGTTGGTGCAGCCGTTGTTGTTAGTGTAGCAGTTGTGGTTGTTGGTGCCACTTTTGTAGTTGTTGGGGCAGAAGATGTAGTGGTTGGTGCAGCTGTTGTGGTGATTGGTGCAACAGTTGTCGTAGTTGGTGCCAATGTTGTGGTTTTTTGTGTAGCAGTTGTTGTTAATGCAGCAGTTGTTGTACTAGGTGCCACAGTTGTTGTCGTTGGTGCAGCAGTTGTGGTTGTACCTGTTGTGGTTGTTGGTGCAGCAGTTGTGGTGGTGGGTGCCACAGTTGTAGTTGATGTCAGTGTTGTTGTTGTTGTTAATGCAGCAGTTTTGGTGTTTGGCACAGCCGTTGTCATGGTTGGCGCCACAGTTGTGGTAGTACGTGCCACAGTTGTAGTTGTTGGTGCAGCTGTTGTGGTTGTTGGTGCAGCAGTTGGTGCAGCAGTTGTGGTTGTGGGTGTGAATGTTGAAGTTGTTGGGGCAGCAGCTGTAGTAGTTGGTGCAGCAGTTGTGGTTGTTGGTGCAACTGTTGTAGATGTTGGGGCAGCAGTTGTAGTAGTTGATACAGCAGTTGTTGTTGTTGCAGCCATTGTTGTTGTTGGTGCAGCCGTTGTCATGGTTGGCGCCACATTTGTGGTAGTACGTGCCACAGTTGTAGTTGTTGGTGCAGCTGATGTGGTTGTTGGTGCAGCTGTTGTCGTGGCTTGTGCCACAGTTGTGGTAGTAGGTGCGACAGATGTAGTTGTTGGTGCAGCTTTTGTGGTGGTTGGTGCAGCCGTTGTGGTGGTTGGTGCAGCAGTTGTGGTTGTTGGTGCAGCCATTGTGGTGGTTAGTGCAGCAGTTGTCGTTGTTGGTGCAGCCGTTGTGGTTGTTGGTGCCACTGTTGTAGTTGCTGGTGCAGCAGTTGTTGTTGCAGCAGTTGTTGTTGTTGGTGCAGCTATTGTGGTTGTTGGGGCAGCAGTTGTAGTTGTTGGTGAAGCTGTTGTGATGGTTGTTATTGGAACGTTGCACAAACTTGTTGTACAGCAGCTTGGTCCAATAGTTATCGAACCAATATTCTCCATGAATGGCAAACGACCCAGACTTGAAGCAGCTGCACATGCGTTGGGACTAATACATCCCAGTGCTTCAATTGTGTTTGTTCCATCCGTTACTGTTAATATATAAAAGAAAGTCGAGTAAGACTATTCTTTCCAAAAAAAACATACATCAAATATTCAAACAGCAGAAGACTGCTTTCTTGCTTTCTTCAGTTTTAAACATAAGTTTTTGTTTAATTCCAGCACTAGTTTAAAGTATTCTTTAAAATTAGACAATATTTTATCCAAAGTATTATACACATGAACTTACCAGTTGCTGTCATACAGTTGGTCTCAGGTCCTAAACATGGGATGGGAGTGGCGCACTGAGATGTGGTGGGGTCACAAACAATACACTGAAGGGAGTTTGGTGACTGAAGAGGTGGTCCTGAAATTGAACCAGCAGATGAAAGAGACACTTGTTTAACACATAAAACACAAGAGGAATGTCAGGATTTCAAAAACTCCTGATAAAACCTACAAGTCAGAGTTTGTGAATTGCAGTTGTCAGTGTCGCAGCACGCAGCTGATGCAGTTGCACTTTGGAAACCCAAGTTGACTGAAAATGTCTGTCTGCCTGTGGCTAGACACAGAGAGGATGATGCGCAGGCCTTGTAGATTTGTGTTCCTGTAACTCCATTCTGAGTTCCTGCAAAGCCAATGGGATGTTTGTTGTTTTTAATAAAAAGTATACACAGTCTGAAAATGAAAGCAGAAGTTCCGACTAAAAAGGAAAGTAAGAAACAAACACACCAATACCTCTAATGTTAGCTGTTATGCACATCGTCTCTGAGCCACATGGTTGTGATACTGAGATTGAACATGACTGATCGGTGCAGGTGATGCACTGCAGGGCCCCAGCTGCAAACAGTTGAAAAGTATTGATTAAAAATATATTATTTAAAATATCAGGAAACAGTCCTTGATATTTAAAATACTGATATATTAAAAAAACAACTTGGGTTCTTTGAAATTGGTCTAACATATATCGGAAAAAAGGCCTTAACCTCAACTAAGGATGGTAAACACCAAGTCATTACATAACATTTACTTTCCCTAAGGACCAAATATATTTTTATTTTTACATTTCAAGAAAGGCTGAGAAAACAAATGATTTATATCCTTTACTGAATCATTGTACTCTAACCAAATCTTGGATAGAATAATAATTAATCATAAGAAAAATAAGTCCTCACTTATAAGACGATGATAGAAACTAACACTAAATAATTTTTATGCAGAAATAAAATATTTAACACAAAAATCTGATATAAAATTTTAAATGTTAACCTGAAGAGAAAAAAAACCTTTATGACTCAAATGAAATAATTTAACCGTCTAAGATTAAGTATGATAACACTTTGATCACAGTCTGAATCAGAGAACCTGTTTTAAATCAGAAGCATCACAGTCGCATCATCCAACACATCACAACATTGTGATGAAGACTGCTATTTGTTTTAAATTCCATGTGGTGATCATCCAAGAAACAAATACAAAACAATAAATAGAATGAAAAACATTACAAATGATTCACCTCTAGTTTTTCACGAATAACAATGTCAGCTGAAAAAAAGATAAAAATCTATTCTAGTATTTCCTACCATAAGCAGAGATGGGAAGTAACGAAGTACAAATACTTCGTTACTGTACTCAAGTAGATTTTTCTGATATTTTTACTTTACTTTACTACTTATTTTTATGGCGACTTTTTACTTCTACTCCTTACATTTTTACACAAATATCTGTACTTTCTACTCCTTACATTTTAAAAAATTGGCTCGTTACTTTAGTTTTGAATCATTTCAATGGAGTTACCGTTATTATTTTTCACGTCATCAATACCAAATTCAATCTAATTGGATGGGAATCTACGTTGCATTTGACGCACCACTACAAGATGAATCGACAGATTCGGCGGTATTCATTGGCGGCAAATCATTGCAGCTTGGTGGCGGTGGCGTTAGCATAGTAGCATGGACGACGAGATGATTGAAAATGAACACAACGGAGATCTAGTCCTATTGGCAGACATCCATTTAAAATGTAGGCAACGGCATGAAAAAAGAGGTTTCTACTTTTACTTTTATACTTTAAGTAAATTTACAAGCCTGTACTTTGTTACTTTTACTTGAGTAAAGAAGTTTAATCAGTACTTCCACTTTTACCAGAGTATTTTTTAACACAAGTATCTGTACTTTTACTCAAGTACGGAAAGTGAGTACTTTTGCCATCTCTGACCATAAGAAACTTAAATATAACTTATATAACTTAAAATATTAAATAAATACATAATAATTAATCTTACCTCTGCTGTAAAGAGCCCAAATGATAGTCAGAGAAACAATCAGCTTCATAGTTCAGGTGTTCAGGTGAATCCTGTGTGTTAGGTCTCCTGGTTTTGATACTAAAACTCAAGAGGGCTTCTACACTTTAAATACTCTACCTATGACCTCAATAATTGGGTGTGTTCCAAAGTTTACAGTGTCAAAGATCCGTAAAGATGTCACAGAATCTGAAAAAAATGGACACACCTTAAATTAAACTATTCATGCATGACAAAGTCTAAGATGAAGGAAAAGGTAACTCAAACTAAACAGATCCACCACCACGTCCACCACTGCTAAATATGATTTAGGACAAAATGAAAAAGAATTTCTATTCTCAACTGAGACTTTACATGTTGTTTATAATAACAGATTAAATGTTTCAAGAGTTTTTGATCACTTTGTGAATGTGTTGACTTGATTTGCCTTTTAGTTCTACCAGTTTCAGTTTCAGTTTGCCTGCCTCCACATATAGATAGATAGATAGATAGATAGATAGATAGATAGATAGATAGATAGATAGATAGATAGATAGATAGATAGATAGATAGATAGATAGATAGATAGATAGATAGATAGATAGATAGATAGATAGATAGATAGATAGATAGATAGATAGATAGATAGATAGATGTTAGTTGAGTAATGCATTAGTGGACTGGAGTAGGAAATGGTACATTGAAAGGAGAAGTGAAATAAACATGGGAACAAACCCCTTCTTTGATGTCATATGTGCGATATTTAAAGTATTTATCATGCTGATTGTTCTCAGTTACAAATTTAATGAAAAGGAGAGAATTATTGTTTTCCCTCTCTTTCCTCTTAGTTCTTATTCCCTCTTTCTTTCTCACCTCCCTCACCATCTCTGTTGTATAGGATTTTAATTCCTAAGTAATTTTCAATAAAGTCTGATGTACTAGTATCAAGCAGAACCCAGCAGTC